GTGTGCTAGACATGGTAAGAGGTCCAGATGGTGAGCAGCCTTCTTCCCTCATCTCTTGTTCCTTGGATGTGCCACAGAAAAGCAATCAGCTGCTGATGGTGTTGGGGGCTGCATCCTCCAGAATTCCTGGAACTACGAGATCGTAGCCTCATCTGGGCCTGGAGGATCCCAGCCTTCTCTGCCACCCTCTCTGTGACCTGTTGGACTGTCACAGTCCATCTGACTGAGCTCCAGATCCCTCTTCTCTGAAGTGGATAGTCATCAAGGTCTTGTCAAGTCGGGGTTTTGTTCCCTGGTGACATGTGGATGTGCAGCTGGCCCTCTGTGTCTGTGGGTTCCACACCCACCCATTCATCCCATGGAAGACACACATAGAAAAACAACCTTGTATTGAACAAGTACAGACTCTTTTCTTGGCTGTTATTCTCCAAACAGAGCAGTGTGACAGCTGCTTACACAGCTGCACTTGTTGGAACTCCGAGTCATGTAGAGATGGCTTAAGGACTCCGAAGAGGTGCAGATACTGTGCTGTTTTCTCTAAGGGGCTTCTGAGTTCCAGGGGACCTCACCTTTGAACACTAAAAGGACTCTGATAAGGCCAGGGTTTTGGCTGAGGCTCTGGGTTTCCTTCCCTCCCAGTGAGTGACCAGGACATCTGTTCCATAGGCTGTCTCTCCTGTCGGGTGCCGCCTGGTCCCTTATGCAGCCACGGTTTCCTAGGTGCACAGTAGTGTTATTATGTCTCCTGCACGTGTTCCCTCACTTCTCCCTTGCTCTGTGGGGCACAGAGAAGTCCACCACCCCACTGTGAAGAACCATACAATATCTTTTGATGGCCTTTGGGGGATGTCTTAGCCCTAGATTTTATTGAACTTGGAGGGGCTCTCAGAGGAGTTGCTGGGCACTAGCTGCTTGGTTATCAGGGTGGGCCATGAGAACATCTGAGAGCACATATGAGAGGAAGCTGCAGCAAGAGAGTAGGAGAAACTGACATTTAGGCTGTTGGCTTTGTAACAGATGTCACCTGGACATTTTGACCCCACCTTTTCCTTGGCTCCTCTCTGATATAAAAATCTTCATTTTGCAGAGGCAGAAAATAGGGGCCGAAAGTTGAGTGATACCCGAATGGGCCCATCCTCACACTGGAGATTAGACTGACCCTCTCCGGCCTGAACGGGCCCTGTCCCTCCTCCCCCAACAATAGGAGGCAGCGCTTCCTGTTAGTGAGGCTGGTGGGTTCCTTCAAAGTACATGGAGGAGTTTGCCCTGCATTCATTTTAGGGTCTAACTAGGACAGGCTGCTTGGATCTGAGGGTTCTGGGGTGGCCTGGGCTGTGTCTTCCTGGAATGTCTCAGCCCTGTGCATTCCTGCAGTCTTCACGGAACCGTATTCTGTGGGCACCAAGAGTTTTCTTGGAAAAGTGTGTGGCACCCACATCTGTTACCTCTTAGAGAACAGAAAGATTGACAGAGACCTGCCGGGGCCTTGCGTGGGGGGAGACAGAATTCAGGAGTAGATGTCCCAGCGACAAAGAGGAAAATCCCTAGCCTGTGCCAGCGCTCCCCGAGGCCCCACTTTGATGTGGTTTTCCGTCCCTGAGGCCTTATAAGGCAGTGTGCCTGTGCTGCTGAGCTCAGGGCTGGGCTGGCTGCACACCAGTGACCGGAGTAGTTGCTCTTCTCTGGGCCCAGGGAGGGGGAGAGGCTGGGCTCCCAGGGGCAGCAGAAGGACAGCGCTGGGACTTTAGAGGCACATGTAGGCCACATGTCCTAAAAGACAATGAAGCCAGGTCTCTAGTCTAAAGTCAGAACCTGGAGTAAGTATGAGGCCCACAGTTCTGCAAGTCAGAGGAGAAGGGCCCCAGGTCCTGGATCCCAGGAATTGGACAGTCCTCTGTCTAAGCCCCAGATTCAAGCCTCTTCAGGAGGTGCAGTGGTAAAGGTTGGACTCTGCTGTGTAAGAACTACAGCATTGGCAAGTTACAGGACCGCCCTGACTTGGTTTTCTCGTCTATGAAGTGGGTATAATAACAGCATACCCCACAGTGATTGCCGTGGGAGGGCAGCAAGGGCTGCTCAGCCCCAGCATTTCTGGCATATGCCCATAGCTGTTTGATGGTGAGCACAGAGGAAGCAATGCGCCTGGGTGCTGATTGATCTTCCAGCACAGAGGAGGAGCACTTGCTTGCTTTCCAGGGTCACTCTGAGACAGTGTGCTGTGGGGCCTGTTTGTGGAGGGGAAACCAAGGCAGATGGGAGGTAGAGCTGCGCCTCCTCCGCTTAGCTTGTGTGGTAAGCTGTCTTTGCACCATCCATGCCTGCCTGATTCCACATCTGTGCCCTCTGTTGTGGCCCCCATGGAGATTGCTACGGCTATGAGTCTGAGTGCACAGTTCCAGCAGCTCCTGCCTTCCTGTAGGAGGATGCTACAGGTCTGTGGCTATGTGGACTGGACTTAAGGCCAGGCTGGAGCCAGCACCAAGCCCACACCACAGAGAGATAGAGTCCCACTGTCCTGAGTCCCACTGGGTTGATTGGAGCACGTGGCCTCTGACCCAGCAGAGCTGATGGCCAGGCCCTGTTTCATGCATTTTTCTGTCTTTGTTTGTTTGTATTGAGATAAAGTATAACCCAGGCTGGTCTCAAACTTGCAGTAGAGAGGGCTCCATTCCCCTCCTCTTTCCCTCACCATCCAGTCCCTTCCCTGTTTTGCAGTGCTGTGAGTGGGACCCAGGACCTTGCACACGCTAGACATGCTACACAAATAGTCTGCCACAGAGTGGTAGCTGCTATCCTTTCAGCTGCTGTCAGCATCCTTCTTTTCTGTCCCATGGCCCCTGAGGACTGGGGCCATGTAACAACAGTGCCCACACATACCTTGATGTTTGGAAATCATTCATTTCTTGAGATATGCACAGAACAGGAGTGTTGTGATGGCCGGAGGAGGTTAACACATATAACTGTGTGCTGTGCAGGGAGTGTCCAGTGCGGGTGAGCTGTCTTACCATAGTGTGCTTTATACTGGGGCCATTGCATAGAAAAATCCACCAGAGCCCAAACGTTAGGAGAGCCGAGAAGCCAGGGTGTGACCCTGGCTTGGTTCACCATGTCGCATTTCCCTGGGCCTAGAGACCATGACCACGGTTTACCAAGACCCTGGAGTGGCCCATGGAGCACTGCGGTATGTTACAGAGCATAGACTTTGTGTGAGCTCAGTGGGCCGCAGGTGGCCAGATCTGCCGTGCACAGTGACGCTGCTGAGTGTGGCTGCTCTGTTGGGGTGATATTGCAGTAACACCAGTAGAAAGTCACAGGACCTCAAAGGCTCATCTTTGCCAGTGCCCTTGCTGTGATGCTGCCAGGGCTTCTGAGGTCAGTCTGAGCCCACTCTCTCCTAGCGGACCCAGCATGAAGGGCCTTTGTCCCCTCTTAAAGCCTGCTGCCTACTGCTGTCGTAAGCACTGACTGCCAGCCTTTTGGGGCTGAAGAGATGGCAGCAGTCTCAGTGGCATGAAAGTTGGGCTTTAATTGGCTGCTGGGGCATCCCTGCCATCTGATGAGGCCACCTGTATGTATCCTTTTCCTGTCACTGTCTCCAGATTCCCTGTCAACGCTGGCTCTGTTAACACAAACAGCCAGGTTACAAGCCTGGGAAATGTTCAGTGATTGTGATAATTGCCAAGAAGGGGAGTGAAGAAAGTCACCCAGGTTTGAAGGAAGTGGGGTACCAGAGCAGGCACAGTCACGTTTCAACTACCTTGAAGAAGGAGCAGTGCCTAGAACGGTCTAGAGAGCTGCATGCAAACAGAGAGCTGTTTGTCTCTAAAACAAAAGCTCAGACTAGAAGCTACCCACTGTATGCAGCATCCTTTTCTGTGCTTTGTCAAGGCGGGCCTGGATGTTCTTTGAGCGTCTGAAGTGCTGAGTTTGGTTGGTTTGTATTCTGTGAAAGTTTTGCCAATCAAAGGTTTTTGTTGTCACAGTAAGGCTTTGGTAGCAGCTGCTGCTTTGGGGCTTTAGTGCTTGCCATTTGCTGGGATTTAGAAGCGTCATCAGACCAACCATTGTAGCATTAGGAAAGAGAATATAGCATACCCCTTCCTGACCTCTTCCTTTTTCAAGAGAGGAGTAGTTTCTAAACTGGGTCCTTGGGGTATGAGCCCCACACTGCAATATACAGCAATGGTGATTCATGTGTTGATAACTATAGTTAAGGCCCTGAGACATCTTATACTAAAGGGCTTGTTTAACTTTATCTAAATAATCTTAGGTTACAGAATTCTTGGCTGAGCACCAATAGAGAAGTCATTTTTGCAAGATACAGTCTAGTTTTTTCTGTATCTCTAGTCTCCAGAGGTGAGTCAGGATAGTTGGTTTTCATATCTTGACATCTCAGATTTTTCCTAGCTTGTAGGACAGCAAAATTTCCTTTGCCAATATGACAGTGTCTGAATGACAGCTTGACAAGGCTGCTAGGTGGGACCCCTGCCATGTTGGTTTCAAACGTCACCAGCTCATGGAGGGGACAGATCAGGCATGTGCCAAGATCAAGCTAGTGACTGGGAAGATTTGTAGGCCCCAGTGAGGTCCACTGGAGCTGCAGCATGCAGGCCTAGGGCATTGGCTGAAGGGGTTGCATTTGACCTTGAGGGTAATGGGGATTTATCAGAGGAGAGAGCACAGAGGGCCCCACTTTGTTTGGAGGAAGACTCTAGACTGAGAACTTTTCTAGGCGCCTTGCTGAGTATGTGGCCGTGAACTTGGCTGGACAGCAAGGACAAGGGACACTAATCCCTGGACACCTTGCATTCCAGTAAGGTAGTGGCCTTGGCCTCTAGGAGATAAGGGTCCTGGACATTGAGAAGCCAGTTGCACTGTCCTATAACTAGGTCCCATCCAATCATCTTGGTCCTATGTCCTTGCTGCCACCTGTCCAGTCTAGCCTGATGGCTTTCTATTGGGTCCCACTGTCTTGTAACCTGCTGCTCTGTCTTCCACAGGAGCTCGTGGGTGACACTTCTAGAGAGGCACTCGGTGAGGAAGATGAGGAAGACTTCCAGCTAGAAGGTATGTGGGTTTCAGTAGCTCTACCTATGGTGGGGGAAAGGACCAAAGAACCCACGAGGGGTAGACAGGACTTGAAAGCCTTCACAGTACTCAGGGTTACTTCCAAACCCTGTGCTCAGTAGCTACCAGACTTCAGGCAGGCCATCACAGGGCTAATCCCCTGTGCCCGTGTCAGTGATAACGAGTGTCTGCTGCTGGCCTATGTTTCTCTCCTCTGGTCCCTCATGCAAGAACCCTCCTTTCTCCAGCAGAAGTACTGTGCTGTAGAGCCAGAGACAGTGGCATGGACCCAGCATCTAACTGCTGGTTTGTTTCTGGAGGTGTCTATGTCCTCATCCATAGAGAGTGGGAAATAGTGCCTGTTGCTGGAAAGCTGCCATGTGACTTCCCATGACTATGACCAGCAATAGTAGAGAGGGCTTCACTCTGCCTGTTACTCACTGTGGGAGGAGTGCCTGGTTAATGCTGAGCAGCTCAGGAGAGCAAGGACCTTGTCTGTTCTTTGAGACCCTTGGAAGGATCCAGGACCCAGTGCCCACCTGGGGCTCTCCTGCTACTCCTGGCACAGTGGCCCAAAGCCCACCCACATGCTGGGCATGGCACACTGTCAAGGACAAGATGCCTCTGAGCCCTGGCCATACACCTGCTGGATCTGGGCTGTGGCATCCTTCTATGCTCCTGGCCAGGGGAGAAAACTGGTTCCTGAATGTCATCTTTGTCTTTCTGTTGGCCAAGCTCATTGCCTCTTGGCTGGTAGAGAGCTGTTTTAAAGGAGAAAAGGGGCCATGTGAGGCGTGAAGATGAAAAGGAGTCTCTGGCAATCCCAGGAGAGGAGGGCTTTGGCTCCTGGGTTGTTCTGTAAAGCTGCCCCTAATCCCGAGTCTTAGCCGCCTTAACTGGCCAGCTGGGAGCGAAGCAGGAGATTAAGGCTGGCTTGGTGTGCAGGGCAGTGAGCTCCTTTTGAACTGGGGAAAGAACAAAGTCAACATCAGAGGTTCCAAGCTGACTGCAGGCCTGTGTGGCAGGGTGTGGGAAGGAGAGGGAGACCCCCCTTCTACGAATCCAGCAATAGCCAGGGGCTGGAGGGGCAGCCCCTTGCTCACTTCCAGCACCTACATGGCCTCTGAGGCTTGTAGCCTGAATGCAAGTCAGTACTGGCTTGGTGGGCAGGCCCATGATACATCTAAGGGAGTTCTGCCCGGCATGTGCTTCCCTTGACTTACGTATGAGTGTCTCCTATCCCTAGGGTTTCCTTGTTGCCTCTCACCTGAAGTTGCTCCTCCCTGACCCAGCCTCCTGGCTCGCCTGGCCTCACCATAGAAACCTAGTTTTGCAGAGCCTGGCAGTTCTTTACCACCTAGTGAGGCTGACAGGGCTAACTGAAGTCTACGATCCCTCTCTTTGGGCCAGGTCCTCTTCAAGACCCCCAAAAAGAACCCGCAGGAGCTTGCTGTCTAGGTAAAGACAGAGAGGAGTCTGGGTGACAGGAAGAAACACCAGGTGCAGGACATTTGGTTGGGGGTGCCAAGTTAAACACCCTGCTGGCCATCCCCTGGAGACGCTGAGGTGGTTGAGCTACCGGCTGCTGGGGACTGGAGTTAAGGGACAGTGGACATGGCGGGGGGGTAAGAGCTTCTCAAGAAGTGGCTATGGCTACGGGCAGTTCCGCTCACCCCTCTTTGGCAGGTCCACCTGCAGGGCTAGCTGGCCCTGCCTGAGGTGTGAGGAGGCCTCTGGAGAACAGCAGGCAGCTGCCCTGGCTCCTCTCCCTGCTTGAGCTTCCCTGTGAGCTCAGCAGCCCCACTCCAGTCCCCAGAACCTCTTTAAGCCATTTCCACTGAGTGAACTTGACCTGGCGTCTTCCCATTTGCTCTCCATGAAAGTGCAGCATAGACAGTTGAGAATCTGCCTCTGCCATGCCAGGGAGGTTTAGCTGTATCTCCAGTAGCCAGGTTTGAAAGTTAATCTCCTTCAAGAGCTTTTGTATGGGGGAGGGACAGTGGGCAGAATGGATTGACCATAGCAGACTCTTACCACACTTTCTTAGTCTGGGGTCCCTGCCTACATTCATGATGTCCCCTCAGTCCTATTCAGGCCTCAGAGCATGAAAACTAGACATTATCTGTAGACAGTTGCCTCCGATCCCATTTCCCTATTGCCTCTTTCCTTCCAGTCACAAGTGTCTTTAAAGCAGAATCTGTATTGGATTGGGCCCAATGGTGGCATGTGGGGGTAGGGGGTAGGGTGTACATTTGGAGGGAAGCCAGGGAGTGCTTGGGGGCTCTGCAGGGTGATAGAAAAGCAGAGGCTCAAAGAGAAGCTCCTTAATGCAGGACTTGGGTCTTTGGGAAGCTCAACCAAACTTGCTTGAACTCGAAGCTCTTGAAATTGAAAATTCCCAGGGAAGGATTGCCTAAAAAGGGCTGGCTGGGCCTAGGAATGCAGACAGCAACACCAGTATGAGCAGATGCGTTCAAACACACACACTCGAACACATGCACACACCCTTTCCATCTCTTCCTGTTCTCTGTCCCTGAAAGTCTGAAACGGGCTTGTGGGGAGCACTGGGAGCATGTGCCCATGGAAGGGCAGGTTAGTGACACCTCTGGCTTCTTTCCCTCAGTTTCTAAGCTGTCCTGACAGGGAGGATCACTTGGCCCAAGTCCCCTCTCGTCCAGATTAGAGCAACGACACAGAACTCCAACTCTAAGCTCTCCACCTTACGCATGTGGAATGTCCAGTGGTGACTCAAGCGAGACATGGCTCCTGGGTCACGGGATTCTTTTCAGAATTGCTGCTCCCGGTTACCTAACCAGGGAATCGCCGGGTTTGTGAGATCTGACTGCAGTACAATGGGGGGGGGGGGGGGCACGAAGAAGCCGTGAAAAACACATTCTTTTGTTGTTGTTGTTGTTAAATACAGAGTCTTGGTCGAGTAGCCTGGCAGGGTGGGGGCAGGGGCTCAAACTCACAGTCCTACCACAGCCTCCAAGTGCTGGCATGACAGGAGTGTGCCACCTCACACAGCTTTCAATGTTCTTTAGGCTTCATTCCCAATGTTGTGAAATGCAAACGGTGACACTCCTACATTGTGTTAGTAAGAACTTAATGAGGCAATACGTGTACCTGCCAACTTGACCGGCAGTGCCAGGCTGGCACATCTGTGCATCTCCGGGGCCTTCTCCCTCATGAGGCCTGTGCCAATCATGCAAGAAACCATTTGGCCTGGAATGTACACACGACCGTGCTCCTCATGGCCCCAGCTTTACCCTCCTAATTATTTTTGGCATAGGCTAATATTAAAATCCATCTACATTCCCCCTGACAGCTGCTCGCCGGAGGCTTGGAGGCCCAGAAGCATCCTGGCAAGCCACCCTCAGACCAGAATATTTGTCACAGATAGCTCTGCGTGGACAATTGCAGGGATCATGAGCATGTTAGGGCGTGTGTCCAAACTTCAGCACGGAAGCACCAGCTTGTGCCCAGTCTTCCATTGGGTCTGCCTGAAAATTTGCGGGCTACCCAGGTGGGGAGATGTCTGCTGTGCTCTTGATGGTCATTCTGCTCTTTCTGGTCTTTACGGTTTTCATCTGTGTTTCAACCATCTCCTTCCACAGCAGGCCTCCATGTTGCTCCAGCTGGGATTGGCAGTGTCTGTCTGTCCTAGCTTATTTATGCCAGTGTTGTAGGACATGGCACAGCTGGGTTCATACCTATGAAAACCCTACTCTGCATGGGCGCACAGATACCAGCCCTCATGGGCAATACAGGGGCAGCAGCTAGCAGGGACCAGCCTCCAGGAAGTTAGAATTCTGTCTGTGCAGAGATGGAGCCTGCTGTGAGGTCATTAGAAGGCCCCCATATGGGACTGTACAGAATGAATTGCCGGGTTTAATGGAAGTAGACCACGCCCTGCCAGCCCAGATGCATTTGTACCAATTAAGAGACACCACTCAGAGCTCCTCCTTCCACACCTGCCTGTCACTTGCTTGAGAAATGTCGGAAGCAGTACACTGCACACATCTCTGGCGTCCTGTGAGTGGCACTTCTGGGGTGGAGCGGTGCACAGTCTGCTTCTCAAAACCTGTCTTCCAGCAACTCCAGATGACCCCAAGCGACCCTAGTCACAGGGCAAGAACTCTAGGTGAGCATGCCCCTGTGCGGCTTTGGAGGGAACTGCTGCACGGGGAGGGCCCCCTTCACCCCCTGCTGTTTGGGTGGCGCCAGCTGTCAGCGCTCAGGCTGGGTGGGCTGTGCCAGGCTGCTCTCTGGGTCACTGCTGTTTGCCAGGGTAAACAGTCCCCAGAAAGTGATGGGGAACTCTCCGAGCATGTGACCACAGAGGTGCCTCCTATTGGCCCTGGGGAGGGTTTGGGAGTCCAGGCTCTAATCACAGCTGCCACCTTTCGATGGTTCCCAAGTCTCTTCCCTTTCTCTTCCTCCTCCTCCTTCCCTTTTTTAAACTGGGGGAGGGGAGAGGGAAAAGAGGCTGTCTTTGATCTTGGTGGAGGAAAGAAGTCTGTTCTGTTCAGGCTTTTGGCTAACACAACAAACAGTGTTTAAAATTTAACTTTGCTTAATTAATTAGTAATTCTGTTTAATGCTGTCTGATCTCCCTCCAAAAGGTATTTTGAAGCTTGAGAAGGGAACTTCAAAGGGAGCCGGGTGAAGATGGTCAAGTAATGCATTTAATCTGGCAGTTGCTGGGGGTGGAGTGCAGCCAGGCTGGAGCTGATGCGTAGACAGAACCATCATCTGCTAAATCAGCCAGCCAGCTCCGGTGGCCGTGGCCTCGGTATGAGACGGACAGAAAGCAGCTTCCAAAGCGAAGGAGCCCCACAGCACAGCCATCGCCACTCCCTGCGTGTTATTCTGGGCTAAGAAGCAATGTTAAAAAGCAGAAATGACACTGTCTCTCTTCTGTGGTCACTATGAATGGTCGAGCAGGCTGGGAACTGCACAAGGGTTTCCAGTTAGGCAAACAGTAGGTCACTGGCGACTTCCAGGCTGTGCCCTACTGAGCATATACCCAGGAAGGAGTGGAGGTCAGCCTTCACCTAAAGCAGCAACACCCAAAGTTCCACAAAGAGCCAGACAGTTCCTATCGTAGGCTGTGTGGACCATGAGTACTTTCATGACTGCTTGACTCAGCTCTCCCGTGTGCAGCAGAAGCAGCCAGAGATGAGTGTGCGTGGCATATCTCATTAAACTTTGCTTAGAGAGCCAGGCTGTGGGCCCAGTGGCTCACAAGGCATCGTTGGCAACCTGCTCTTTATCACCCAAACATGCTTCTTGGGCAGTGGAGTATATTATTGCCCTCCTCCCTCATCTCCCTTTCTTGTGCTTCCCTTTCTCCTGTCATATTGGCACTGTACCCTGCTTTGGCTCCCCCGGCAATTGGAGTAAGGCTAGAGTGCCTCTGAAAGATGTCTCAGACTGGCAGCTGGTTCAGCAGGAACAAGAAGAGAGAGGACCTGGGTACTAGAGTCCTTCTTGGACTAGTGTCTTTCTGATTCCCGGGTATGACTTGGGTGGTCTGCCGGGAGCAGAATTTGCTGCCTGGCCCTGATGCCAGTAGCCATGGGCAGGTAGAGATGCTCTGCTTGGCCACCCGGGTACAATGCTATTCGCCTTGGTTTGGAATCGAGGGGGTCATCTGTGAATCCCATGCCAGTTGCCACAATCCGAGCCACTGTCTCTGACCCTTGGCCTGCATGGCTTTCTGTAGGGTCTTTGCCATCTCTTCCAACACTTGGTCAGGGGACAGTAGAGGTAGGACACAGGGTGCCAAGGAGCATGACTCCCAGGCTTGCTGTTCATTTCTGCCCCGCCCAGGTTGGGATGTTCTGTGTATTCAGATACATGGCTACTTGGGGGACATCCTGGAGGCTTGCTGGGCTAGGACAGCGTGGCAGACTTACTGGGGAAGAGGGGACAGTCTAAGCCACTCTGTTCTCTAGAGAGGACACATGAAGATAGAAGGGGGATGCTTTCTACCTCAGCTGAGGAGAGAGGAAAGGGTGGGGGAGGACCCAAAGGAAGACATGCTCTCTAGCATGGCATCAAATGTGCTCCGGAGGAGAGAACGGAACAGCGGTTCCTTGTCTTTGGGCTTATCAAGTGGAACATGAAAGGCAACATTGAACCTGGAGGTGCTCGTCTGATAACTTCCCTTTGAACTTGAAGTCGGGTTTCGATAAGCCTGGCCAGCTCGCATCAGCAGGACCTCTGCAGAGCCAGGCAGTGGCTTTGAAGATGGAGCTAGGCTTTGTTTTGCTTTCTGCTTCCTTTTCTCTCTCCCGGAGGGGGAGGGGAGGAGTCTGCAGGCTGTGATGTCTCTATAGTTTCTACAGAGGGGCGGACTGGGGCAAGGGAGAGTGTTCAGACCGGGACTACCGGCTGGGACTAGGGCATAGTCAGCACTTATTGAGCACTTGCTGAGTACCCACCATACTGTCTGACCAGCAGACTCCTCACAGCCCTCTCCTGGAGGTTGCTTAAAGACAAGCGTCCCTGTGATGGAGACACCGGCCCTACTCCACTGTACAGACTTTCTTAAAGCTGCCTGGGTTGGAAAAGTAGGAACACCAAATGCCACTCTCTCCCATGGTGCTCCTGTGCAGCCCAGCTGTGTCTACCAGACATGCTGGTGACAACTAAAGCCAAGGCCTCCTTCGAGGAGTAGCAGAAAGCCACCTGTCCCTGGGGCCTGAATGGCATGGCCACAGCACGTGCCCTGTGTGGAGTCACGGTAGCATTTGCGGCCCAATGGGTACCAGATAGATTGAATAGTTGATGCTTGACTGTCTTTGAGTCCCTGGCCGTCACCAGGCTGGTGTTCCTGGATTCAGGGTCCCCTGGAGGAGGGTGTCTGACCAATAGGATCAGAGTGGGACTGTTACAGATAGAATCCACAGTACTTGGAACCAGTGGCCTACCTGACAGTAAGAGTGCCAGGCACCAGGAGCCTTCTGAGGAGGCAGCCATTCTAGTTTTGTGCTCTTTTGGTTTTGCTTTGCAATAACAGACCATTCTACAGGCAACACTCTTGATGGTATCAGGGAGCTGTGGCCTCTTCTGTACTAAAGGATGGAGGCCCTTGTGGGTGCTGGCAATGGTGAGGCAGGGAGAGAGAGAAGGAAAAAGTTCTCAGGGGATGAAACCACTGCTCCAGGTTGCCCTGTAGCTGCTGTGGTCTCTGAGAACTTGTTTTCTAATGCTTTGGTTTTCCATCAAGAAAATGGATCTAATAACAGTAACTGCCTCACAAGGTCCCAGTGAAGATGGAATCTATGAATAGCCAGTGCTGAGGACTGTGGGGCCCAGTGCCGTTCGAGCCTGTTGCCTGTGCTGTGATTCCTGGCTCCAGGGTACCAGGTGGGCGGGTGCAGGTAGCTGTCAGGAAGAGGGTTCTGACCTGAGAAGTATGAGCAAAGAAAGGCAGTGTGTTCTCCCACACTGCACCCCAGCCCCACAGCTGTTGCTCTTGGGTGCTCATTGCCACACTGAGATGTGTGAATTGAGTGGGGTGGGAACAGAGCCCCATTTTCCTGGCCTGTGCCTCGGATCACCAGGATCCTGACATCCCAAGAAAGCTCATCTGGAATTCTGTCTGGTTGGGACATCTCAGTTGCCCTCACAGCTCTCCAGGTGACCTAGCCCTCTTAGATGAGGGGTCTTACTTCTTCAAAATAGGATAATGAAGTCACTGTACGAGGGCACAGGGGAACTTTGAAGTGGGAGCACCTTTCAGAAAAGTACACTGAAGTTCCTTTGTGCCACACAGAAAGGGTCAAAGGACTCCTCTGGGACATTCTGTTATATGATGCAGCCTATACCTAGGTTCTGTCTGGGTGTACTGGCTGGCCCCTCTTGGACACAGGAAAAATGGTACCAGTAGGCCACACACTTCACATTTCCTCTCTGCTTCTGAAAGCCAGACACATAGAAGACCATGCCCTTTGGCAGAGCAGAGGACCCCAGGTAAGCAGAGGCTAAGGGCAAGGGTCAGGATGAATGCATTCCCTGAAAAAGCCAGCATATATCTATACCTTTCCTCATACTGCTAATCAGTCCTCATCCCTCTGCTCTGCATCTTTGAGGATCCCACAATGTTAGTATAGGAGGCAGTGGATACAGAAGGCTATGGTCCCTGGGTCCACAAACACCTCTTCTTGCCCTGCTCTGCTAAGTAGCTGATTGTCTCTACCAGATCTGCAGGCTGCTTATCCAGGCTATAAAGCTGGGGCAGAGCAGGCGTCTGAGACACCACAGGGAAACCTGAGTAACTGGTATGGCTATTCCACAAAGGCTTTCTCCAGGGCAGCCTATGGCATCTGCAGGGCCAGAGAACTGAAGGACATGGGGCACAGCTAATAGGAGGGGCAGATGGGCCCAGCACTCCTGGCCTGAGGACATAGCACAGCCACCTTGATCCTGAATTCCTCCTCTTCCCTGTGCCTCCCTACAGTGGCCCTACCACCTGAGAAGACTGACAGCCTGGGCAGTGGAGATGAGAAGAGAATGGAGAAAGTGAGTGAACCCAGCCCCAGCTCCAAGAAGCCGCTTAAGTTTGAAGTAAGTTTCCTTTCGAGGGCTGTGACTTTATGGTGGTCTAAAAGGGGGAAACTGAGGCCCATGTAAATGGCAAGACCTCTTACCTCTTGTGCAGATAGTTGCTTCTGTGGGAGATCCTCCCTGCTGCCTTTGGGTCAAGACACCTCAGCCATGGCCTCTCCACATGGGTGGTGGCTAGTGCACACTTCCAGGACTCTACGACAAGGTGTGGGTGCACATGGAGAGATAGGATTCTGATCCTTGGGCCTGTTGTCTTCTTATGGATCCTCGGGTTCCTCGGGCCTTCCATTTTACCCTCAGAGACTGACCTGGAACATAGGGGCCCTCTCCTGTGGCACGGAAGAAGCCAAGGCGGGAGGCCCTTGGCAGGGCCCCAGTTCTAGCTTGGCTTCTGTTTCCAAAGCAACACAAGGATAGGCCCATCCTCCTGCCCTTCTTTAACCCCAGCAGTGGGGCAGAGTGGGTTTCTGAACTCCCTCCAGGCGCCACAGACAGGGTGAGGGCTCAGAGTGAGGCCTGGTTCAGCGGAGGTTACTGGCATCCCTCACCCTCACTGCTTCATGCCTTCCCTGACCCCCTCTTCCCGGGGCACAGCTCTACTGTTGGCACAAAGGTGTGAGTTCAGGCCAAGTCCCTTCACATTTCAATCTTCCCTGGACTGTGGAGATAGCGAGTATCTACTGGGGTTCTGGGAACATTTGGTGCTCCCACCCTAGAGTATGCAGCTGGTTGCCTTGCTTGCTGTAACTGGGGTTTCCTTCTTTTCCTCGGTGCTAATGGAACCCTGTTGCTTGCCAGGAGACCAGCAATAAAATGAAACATGGTTACTGGTTCCTGCCCTTGCAGATCAAGCAGTGTGGCCAAGGGACAGACAAATGACATAGCTTGCCAACACAGTGTGTGTTGGATATGTGCAGGGGTGTGTGTGTGTGTGTGTGTGTGTGTGTGTGTGTGTGTGTGTAATGTGTTACATCAAATCAAATATGTCTCGGGGTAGAGTGGACCCCTGACATGTGTCAGATTAGCATGTCATAGATGAGGGAAGGCTGGATTTGAACTCAGCCTGGCCCATTTGAGAGCCAGAGGGAACCAGCTTCCAGCTGCAGCAGCTGCAAGCAGGGACACCTTGTCTGCCATGCACATGCCAGTAAGCAGCTATTTTCCCTCATGGTGGTGAGGCCAGTCTCCGTGCTCTCTGAACTGGGGCATGGGTGTCTGTGCTGACTCCTGGCATTGCGTTGTTCAGGTCACCTCCGTCTGGGCCTTCAATGCCTGGCCCTGTAGGGCTGCCCTTGGCAGAGAAGCAGGGCACTTGAGGTGGGAGTATGGGGATTGTTCCCAATGCTGCAGGGGAACTGGGAACTCTGGGAATGGGGAACACATGATGGAGCACCATGTGGCAAAGGACTTAATTGTTCTGATGACTTTATGGGACAGAGGATAGATATGATCATTTTCTATAATTTATATGAGAGGAAAATGAAGCCTCAGAAACACAGCAACCTGCCCAGGATCGTGCAGCTGTTGGGGCCATGCTGGGAGAAGTCTGGGAAAACTGGAGTTTCACCTCTTCATGTCCTGCGTGCTGCTACCCAGTTCAGTTGCCCATGCTGAGATCTTCTTTGGCTTCCCAAGTCACTGGTCCCTGTTGCCTCCTGGAAGCTTCTCACCCTTGGTTGAAGTTTGCCCTGTGAGGCCAGTCTGCTGGCAGAGTCCATGCGTCTTCTTTGTCTTTGAGCACTAGAGATTACTGGTGCCCTGGGACCTGTAAGCCCTGCCTAGGCTCTGGCCTCTTTCCCTGGCTGGTCACATCTTAGTCACTGTCCTTCTCCATTTGCCAGGATATCGGGGGATGGCTAGAGGTACAATGGCCTTACCACCGGGCCTGAGGTGACACTCCAGTTGATAGTTAAGCAGGCCACATGTCTGTCTGTCTGTTTGTCCAGGAGCTGCAGTGCGACGTTTCTGTGGAGGAGGACAGCCGACAAGAGTGGACTTTCACGCTGTATGACTTCGACAACAATGGCAAAGTCACCCGCGAGGTAGGTGTGCTTCCTGCAAGGTGGCAGGGCAGCCCTCAGGCACCGGGCTGGACTGAGCATGAATCTGCTGCCCCCTCCTCTTGCCTGCTGGGGCCAGGCCTAGGGAAGGACCTGTGGAGAAAGGCTTCTGGTAGTTCAGGGTGTGCTATCCCCTAGTGAGTGGTCAAGAGACAGAAGGCATGCAGTGGAGCACCTCACACAGTCCAGAGCAAGAGGTACCCCTCTGAGGAGAGGTGGGAGACAGTGGCACAGTCCAAGGTCTTCCTGGAGGGGGACCCCAGGTTCGAGCAATTTCTCCCTGCTTCCTTCTCCTTGCAGTCCCTAAGCTCTAGCAGCCACCCCCAAGGCCGCACAGAACAGACTATGGCTGGTCTTGGCCGCTCTTCCCATTAAGAACCCTCCTACCACTCCTTCCATGTTCCCCTCATTTTTTCCAAACCTCCGTCTCTGGAATTTGAGCACCAACCAGGCTGAGCCCTCAGGCAGGAAAGAAACAGTCTCTGTGCTCCATGTGTTGCTCTGACAACTTGATGAGGCAAAGAACACCAGTGAGACAGAAGTGATCAGTGGGGCAGGGAGAAGCTTCTTGGAAGGACGGCCCAGTGCTAAGCTGACCCCAACCATGCAATATGCTGGCCTGGGAGGACACCTACCTGGCTGACCCCTGGTTAAGAACTGAAGGATACTGGCCTGTGACCTCTTTGGAGAATAGATATAGTGGGTCTCTAAGGCCCTGCCAGCAGGTGTCAAGAAAGCCTAGGAGGGCTCAGATTCAGTTCTTTCTTTGTAACCCACCCACCGCCACCCTGAGTAGGCCTGCATTATGAGGTAGGGCCTGTTGGAGATGGTGCTTGGCCCTTGTATGGAGGTGTGGGAAGAGATGGATTAGCTTTGTGTCCTTTTGTGGCCCAGCATGTGAGCCTGCCAGCCTTACTCTCTTGAGGACCTAATGGTTGGCCTCCATATCTCCTTATTCCAGTCAGGTTGGGACAAGTATTAGTTTCTCCACAGCAGATGCAGGCAGTTAGCTTTGAGTACTCAGAGGGATATCTGGGTTACAAAGCGTGCCTCTGTCCCAGGCTGTAGCTTGGGGAACATGAGAAACAGGTGCAAGGAAGAGGCTGACAAATATTTAACCATTCAAGACCCTGACCTGTGTTAAATCCTAGCGTATACTGTTGTAGATAACAACAAAAGGAATGCATTGGCTCGTGCAGCTCTGAAATTCCGTTCTGGGAGGCTTGCTTCAAGTATGGCTGACTTCAGAGGCTCAGTATGTGTAGGGCCAGGCCTCACTCATAGCTGTCCCTCTGCAGTCTCTTCTTACTGTGCAGACTCTCCATGACACTGACTGTTGTCAGCTCTAGCCTGGATCCCTCCCTCTCAGGAATCCCTCCCGTTCAAAATTTCCATTCACATTCCAGAGTCAAATCTCACTGGCTTCATCACAGGACACATGGGACCATCTGTGGCATCTTTACCACATATGCTACAATGAAAATGGCCAGCCCTCAGGGCTGCCTTCTTCCTTTCTCCCTAGTTTAGAGATGCTGAGGGGCCTCCTGTGTGTATCCCCTACTGCAGAGTCCTTGCAGAAGGGCTGCAGACAGACATTCCTGTTTTCTCACTCATGTCTTTGGTGATGAGAGGAAGGAGCCACAATCAGTCAGGCTGTCCAAGGGAGGTGGTTCAGTGTGGCCTGAAGCCAGCCTCTGGTTGTGTTTTCTTTCTGAGGAGCTAGGATGCTGGCTTTGAGTTACGGACCCTGCCTGGAAGATCTGCTCGTCTCGAGTCACAAAGCTCCTTTTTAAACCTGCTGCACATACCTCTCCCTCTCTTTTTCCTAGTGTGATTTGGTGTGCCCAGGCAGCCAGGCTTCTATCTCACTGCATCTGCTGTCTAGTGTCTGGACTAATCTTCCAGGTCTGAACATGTGACCTTTCAGGCTCTCAATCATATGGGATGCAGTTATAGTCACTTCTGTCAATCAGCTTTCTGTCACTGTAGCAAACACTGAGCTACTCAGTTTACAGAGAGACCAGGCTTACTCCAGTTCATGATCAGTTGGCTCTGTTGTTTTGGGCCTGTGGCAAGTCAGCGTATTCTGGCAGGTGTGAATGGCAAAGCAAAGCTGCTCAGCCCAGGGCCTAGAAATAAGAAGAGGGAAACAAGAAAAGACTGGGACCCACAGTTTCTTTTGGGAGCACATCTTCAGTGACCTAAAGGCCCACCACAAGATATTACCGCATAAAAGCCCCACCAGCTCCCAGTATGCCACCCTGAGACCACATCTTTATTACAGCAATTTTAGAAACAAACTGTAGCAGCCCCCGTTGCCATGTACCAAACCCTGGTTTTTAAGATGGTGTCAAAGCTGCTTCTTAGCTTTGTGCTGAAGTCATGGAGCAGGACTCCAGGCCTTCTGAGCACACAACACTTGAAGAATGTTGGCAGTGGCCCTTGGTTTCCTTGTTTGTCACCTCCATCATGAAGATGATGTCTCTTGAAGATGGTGCAGCTCTGAGAATGGGTGGCATTGGCTATGCAGGGAGCCATGGGAAGGATAGGAAGGAAAGGAGTCCTGTGTGGCCTCTCCAGAGGAGCTGAGACAGTCGAGTATGACAGGAGTGAGCAGCTGGAGGCTGTCACCCCCAGTCTGTCCTCCGCATGTCTAGTCTGGTCTTTCAGGGGCTTTTGCTAAAAAATTAAATTTGTTGTCGGTGTTGATAATTTGAAATATTTCTCAGAAGACTGGATCTCTGGCTTCGCTCAGTAGCCTCGTCCTGTAGAGTCAGCCTTGTGGAATGTCTACCATGTTTCACAGGTATACCTTTGCCATGGTAGACCATCCATGCTTTTCACCCATCACACATCTGCCTGGCTACTCCATCACTGATGCTCACCTCTGCCTCAGCTAAGGGAAGGTCGATGAGGGCCAAATATGTCAGAATTCATGAAGAATTGCTGGGCAAAATAACCGTGAGTGTGCCTGGGTACAGTATATTTAAAGCAGGACACTGTCCCTCAGATAGCTGACCACAGATGCCCAGAGCTCAGGAGTCCTCATAAGGGGTGCTTGTGTCCCCCACCCCAGTGAGAACTCTGAGACTCCTCACAGCACACTGCTGCAGGCCCCATTCTCTTTTAATAGGTAACAGGCCCAGGAACAGTGGTCAGGTTTCTCAGAGATCAGTTTGCCTTCAGTGACTCTTACCTCACACTCAAAGCAGAGCGGCTTCCACAGTAGACACTGGTCTTCTCCAATCCATCTGGCGAGAGCACCCTTCCTAGTCTGTGAGCAGCTGCCTTTTCACAGGGAGAGAGCAAGTGAGCTCCAACGGCCACAGAGCAGGAACATCTGCTCCCATGCGCCCCCTTCCATCACCTTCGTCTCCCTCACTCACTGAGTACAGCTTCAGTGTCCACGGGGGTGACTTCGGCAGAGGAACAGGTGGGGGCCGCAATCCAGTTCAATGGAGAGGCATAATTGCATTTGCTATTTTTCCCTCTAAGAGCACAGGTATGTAGCATCTCACCCGGGAGGGTTGAGAGCTGGTTTATAAACTCTTCCCCTTCCTGGATGAGGCTACTCAGGGAGCTTGCACACAACCTGTTAAGGCCCCCAGTGGCTCACAGTCTCAAGGCACTCTGAGTTTGTGGGTTTCTTTCCTTGCTCCCTATTCCCTCTCCCTGGGATTTCCCCCACACTCACCATTCTGCTCCGAGCTCTCTTTGAAGGAGCTGGGGCCTTCAGCACTGCAGTGGTCACCAGCTGCAGTGGCAATGTTGCTGGTGGCAGTGCACTGTTGGCTAAAGTATATGGGTGTCTGCTTCCTCCCAAACAGGACATCACCAGTTTGCTGCACACCATTTATGAGGTGGTTGACTCCTCTGTGAACCATTCCCCGACATCAAGCAAGACACTGCGAGTGAAACTCACTGTGGCCCCTGATGGGAGCCAGAGCAAGAGGAGTGTCCTTTTCAACCATACTGGTGAGAGTGATAGCAGAGATATCCACTTTGGACAAGACAGGAAGGACCACGTCAGCCTGGGAGGGGAGGATGTGACCTGGCTTCCACAGAGAGTTGCTTGGGTCAGAGGGAGGGGCGGGAATGGCAGACGGAAGGCCCTGTGTGAGCAAAGGTAGATAGGTGAGACTGGGTGTGGTACGAAGTGACAGGAACATGTAGTGAGAGGGTGGCAGGCCAGGCCTTGGAGGGCAGCCTATAAATCTGGAGAATTGAGTGGAACAAGCAGCTTTTCTGATCCTCACTGGGCAGCTCTGCCACAGAGCTGTTGTGAAACACTCTGGGTGCTTTTTGAGGGTGTAATGGCAGGCAATCCCTGGCAGAGCAGGGGTAGGCACTGACTCGTGTTTCTTGGGCTTCTGGGACTCAGATCTGCAGAGCACGAGGCCCCGGGCAGACACCAAGCCTGCTGAGGAGCTGCGTGGCTGGGAGAAGAAGCAGCGAGCCCCTCTCAGGTACGGCATGCACAGGCAGGGCAGCCAACTCATGCCCGTGAACGTGTATTGAGCACCAGCTGGATATATACATCTGAAGGACTTTGAATAGCAGGCTCTATCTTGGGTCCTCTGCAGTGGCCTTGGTTTATTTCAGAAGTACGGATTTGCAAATCAAAATCTAAATTGAAAAACAAACAAACTCTATAACCTTTACTATATTCCATATTAAAACATCCTTCAGATTGTCTCCCCACTCGGTTTGGATTTAGCATGTGTTGGGTGTTCCTGACGTATTATGCGCCACAGATGGCTTAGCACAGCACCTTGGGGTCTGACACCCTGGGATTTCGACCAGGGAGTGTGTGTACATGCCTTCACAGCAGTTTGACAAAACCCCAAACATCCCAGCTCTGGTTGTTCAGTGGGCTCTGAGAAACCTTCATTTGCAGGCTTCTTGCTTTCAGAACTGTGGGCAAGGGCTTCTAAATCTTCAGTTGTCTGTCCCATTGTCACCTCCGCATAAGCAGAGAGAAGGGCTGTTTGAAGGACACCTAATAATGCATCAGGGCAGCAGGCAAGCATGGGGATCCTTCTCCTCTGGTGCCAAAGAAGGCATGGCTGGAGAACGGCCTGTTGTCCTTCATGTGGACATGGAAAAGGCAGACCATGCTAGGGCACCGCTGGCCAGGCAGTGGGCTGGACGGCAGGCTGCAGGCTGGCTGGAGGTGGAGGTGGGTGGGGCTGGGGAACATTGAGCAGAACATGGGGAGGTGGGGCAGGTTGCACTGGGCATCAGGGAAATGAAGGCACAGACTAAGAGCTTCCTGACTCAGATGCCCTGCTCCCAAGTTACAGAGGAGAATGAGTGATGAACTGTGTTTTTGACCTGAGGGTTTCCCAGCAGACTTCAGGACCTGTGCCTTCCTTCTTACCGTCCATTTTGTCACAGGTTCCAGGGTGACAGCCACCCGGAGCAGCCGGGCTGCTACCACCATTGTGTGGATGAGAACATCGAGAGGAGAAACCACTACCTAGACCTGGCAGGAATAGAGAACTACACGTCTCAGTTCGGACCCGGTAAGGGACCGCCGAATGGGATGGAGGCTGGATACACAATGCTGGCCAGTGGCCATTGTACCCAGGGGACTGGGGGAGATACGTAGCTTTTTACCTGGACAGGTCAGACGCTCTTCTCAGGGGAGGTAAAGTTAGTGACATTTTCGAAATGAAAGCAATACTTAGACAATGCTGGGAAAAATCCGAGAGAGTGAGAGGGGGGCTGGGAATCCAGCAAAAGCAGTAGCACCACTCAGGCCGTGCCAGGCCTGGCATCAGCCACAGCTCTGGTGGCCGTTTGGCCCAGGAAAGTGCTGCTCTGCCAGCCTCTGTGCCCCTTGACCTTGTTTCAGTCCTGTTCCCTCTTAGTTCTCTCTGGGTTTCCTCAGCATTCCCTTTTGTACACTTAGAGCGCTCCCACCCACCTTAGTTCATCATCTCTCCCTCTCACCTCTCAGCAGATGGGAAAGTCCCTTCTTCTGCAGGGCAATAGGGCAGTAGAGGTCTGGTAACTCAGATAGAGAGGTGATGATGGTACCTGGTCACCCAGGGTACCCCAGTGTACACAGTGGGTGCTCATGAAGTATCTGTTGGATTGGTTCCTAGGCTCCCCTTCGGTGGCCCAGAAGTCAGAGCTGCCCCCTCGAATCTCCAACCCCACTCGCTCTCGCTCCCATGAGCCAGAAGCCACCCACATCCCACACCGGAGGCCCCAAGGTGTGGATCCAGGCTCCTTCCACCTCCTTGACACCCCATTTGCCAAGGCATCGGAGCTCCAGCAACGGCTCCGGGGTACTCAGGATGGGAGCAAGCACTTTGTGAGGTCCCCCAAGGCCCAGGGCAAGAACATGGGTATGGGCCACATGGCCAGAGGCGCAAGAAGCAAGCCCCCCCTGGTGCCCGCCACCCATACCGTGTCCCCCTCTGCCCACTTGGCCACCAGCCCAGCCCTCCTCCCCACCCTGGCACCCCTGGGGCACAAGAAGCACAAGCATCGAGCCAAGGAGAGCCAGACAGGCTGCCGGGGCCTGCAGGCCCCACTGGCTGCGGGAGGCTCCACCGTCGTGGGGCGGGAGCAGGTGAGGGAGCTTCCTGCCATGGTGGTGTACGAGAGCCAGGCTGGGCAGGCCGTCCAGAGACACGAGCACCACCACCATCATGAACATCACCACCATTACCACCACTTCTACCAGCCCTAAGCCCCACCAGGCCGCCACAGGAAGGACCCACCCCCACGCCCCGAGGCATTACTATTCTATTAATTATTGTTATTATGGCAATTATTGTTATTAATAATTATTGTTACTCCACTAATATCTAGCTAGCCTTCATGTAGAAGATATATGGAAACACAGAACTAAACTCTTATTTATAAGTTGTGGGGATTACGTAACTCACCCAAGAAGTGACCCTGGGTCTGAAAGGATCCTTGGGCCCCCCTGGCTGCAGGGCCCACGCAGATCTTCCCAAACCACAGGAGCCCTCGGCCCAACTGCCCCACCCCAGCTCTTCCAGGAGAGCACCCTTACCTGGTTCAGCTTCAGAGACCCTCAAGAGCTCCAGAGGACAACAGCTGCTACCTCTCAGCGTTATTCTGGTTTGACTTCACCCTTAGTCGATTGTAACATGCCACAGGGGATTTCAGCGGACTGCCATCGCACCCTCCCTGCCCTTGTGTTTTCACGCCTCAACCTAGACACACCTTATCTGTGTTTCCTGGAGTCACTGCCTCACCTTTCCAAAGGGAACATGCCCTTGGCCCAAGCCAGCCCTGTTCTTTCTTTCTTTTTTTTTTTTTTGCAATGCACAGTGTGGAAGCACCCCACTATTCCTGTGCCCCCCTCTTTGATTTTGAAGGAAGCACCTGTGTTTAAGGATTGTCCTTGGAGCCAGCCTTCTCATTTTAGAAACTACTACAGAGAGAAGCAACCACATAAAGAAGTATGGTTTCCCAAGACGGCACCATTGTACGACGGAGGGTGTGAAACCTGAGTTTGCCATCAGCCAATACACTTTGTGGCTCTCTAGCAGCCTTTGTATCTGTAGGTAGTTGCTGCCTGTCCGTGTCTCTGTATCTTTCTATAAATACACTCTCAGGTATCTTTGCTGGTGTGCAGAAATCACTGAGCTGCTCTATAGAAGCTCCTGCAACCCAGGTGCGCCCCCTGTGTTTCATGTAAAGGCTGCCTGTCCATCAGGCGCAAGCGGCCACCTCCCTCTCGTTTCTTTGGGGCTTGAAGACTGCAGTTTTGGAGAGACCCTCTTAGGTATAGAAACTTAAGAGCAGAATGGGGGAAGGGAGGGGAGAAGCTGAGACCCTTGGGCAGCATCCTGTCAACCCTGGAGCAAAGGCTGAGGGACAGCAGAACCCAGCCCAGCACTAAGCCACCATACCCCTGCACATGAAGGGTGAGATCTGAGGGGCACCTGGGAGCCATGACCTTCATTCAAAGAATGTAGCAGGCTGTGTGGGACACTTGCCCCTGGGGGCAGGGAAGTGAATGGCCTGACTCCCTCTCCTGCCTGCCTGCCTGTCCTCCTGTACTGGCATCTGCTGAAGGCCTTGGGAGGGAGTGAGGTCACATGGGCTTTTATTCTTAAGGGCCCAGAGAGAGTCTGACCCCAGAAGGAAATGATCCCAGCTGTCCCTCCTGCCCCTTTGGCTCCTGAGTTTAGCATGGTTGGTGAGCGTGTACTTCTGAAGGTAGTGAGCATTAGTTGTTTTCATGGTGTTCATTGCTGCTGTGCTTGGGACTGTAATCCTCAGGACATCACTATGAGGAAGCAGGAGGTGGAAGTCAGGGAATAATACATTCAGAGAGGCTCAGAGAGGTCAAGAACCTGCTTGAGACACACAGTAGGTGGCAGTATCGGGTCCTAGTCTTCAGGGTCCCTAACACTGAAGGATATGAGCCCGGGGTTTTCCGCAGGTGAAGCTGTGAGTTTCCGTTTGGCTAGAATCCAACTCAGAGATGTTGTCTGCAACCAAACCAAATGGGCAAGGCATTGGGGGAGCTGGCTTTGAGGTGACAGGATCCAGTATGTGAAATGAGAGTTTTTGTGCCTGTGTTAGCAGGCCTAAGCAGAATGCCTACTGGCATTCTGGGTCCAGGACTAGGAGAAATGACTGTTCTAGGAGACAAAAGCCTGTTGAGGGATTGTGATTGCCTGGGCTTGTGTAAGGTGGTCATCCCTGGACCAATCACCGTGGGCCACCTGGTATGTGCCACCTGCCACAGGAGGCAGAGTCAGTACTGATGACAGCAGTGAGGGGGTGGCAAAAACAAAACACAAAACAATGGCCTCCAGCCCAGAGTTGCCACAAGCAACTATCCCTGGGGAGTGGGAGCCACTGGTTTTAGAGCATAGATCCTGAGCCTGGAGAAGGAGGTCCCCTTCTGCGCCAAGATTCTGTTAACTTCCTGGGAACTCTGAAAAGTCACTTATAAAAATAGTGCTGTGCTCATGTGTAAAAGATCCAGCTAGCTCACAGAAGCTTAGGGTCAAAGGTAAGTCACCAGGGCTTCGCCCCAGCGTCCATGTATCGATGCTCTCCAGGACCGAGATTGCAGTGTGGTGGTTGTGACACAGCCTGGTGCCCAGGCTGCAGGCGCTCAAGGCCTGACTCCCTTTTCCTCACAGCACGCACTCCAAGTGAAATGCTATGCCTTGTCTTCTCCCTCGTGAGTACTATCCAGATGTTAGCCATCTTTGTTACCAGAATAAATGCATTTTGTAGAATATCTCCCATTTAAATTTTGTTAATCTAAAAAAAAAAAAAAAAAAAAAAAAAGAATTCAGACACAGACTTTGAAAGAGTCATGTAAAAAGTAACCTTGAACTCACTCACCCGGAAGTTTCAAATGCTGACATTTTGCACTGTTTCTTTCTGATCTATTTTTAAGATCGAAAACCCTGCAGTTATGCTCAAGCCCCTCCCCACCCTGCTCTTTTATTTTTACCCAAGGAGCAGCATAGTGTTCATTCTTAGGCGCTTTGCGCTGCAGCCCAGTGTACTTGGGGACCTCCTGCCCCCGCCCTGAGTCGCTGAACTCTGCCCTCCTAGCAGCTGCTCAGCCCGCTCTTGCTCAGAGAAACTGTCACCTCCTGGCAGGCCTGTGGGTCTCTCATCCTTCCCTGTGACGCACTGCATAGAGGGTCCTTGTACATAACTTGTCTGGCTGTCTACTCACAAGACAGTGGCAGAAGGTGTCAACATGGAACTGGTTTCAAGAGCAAGTGCGGTTTCCGTTTTGAAGCTATTTTAAGTAACCTCTTACAAGTGGTTATGGCAAATAATTAGAAGTAGCAGGAAGGAGAAAGAAAAGAGAGGGAGGAAGGTAAAGGAAACAAGGTTGGATCCTGTGTGTAGATATGACCCAGTTCCTTGGGCACAGCTACTGCTTCCCTGCCCCCCGCCCCAAGCTCCACTGGGGCCTGGAGAAGTGTCCGGGTCTTTTGAGCTTGAGGCCTCATGGTCTTGCACTGCACTAGCTGCTGGGTGGAGGAAGGATACTGACTTTGCTCTGCTTCCCCCACCCCTCCCGGGAAGCATCTGACACCCAGCCATGCCATTGGACCTTTTGGCAAAGGGGATAGCCAGGACCTGTTTGGCTTTCTTCTTTTTCCAGCATTCATCTGTCAGATTGCTTCTGCACCCGAGATCAGCAGCCAGAGAGTGGGAAGAGTGAGGCTACCTGTCAAAAGCCATATCAATGAGCAGCACCCTGAAGGTGCTGGTGAAGGTCAGGCCTGCCAGCCACGTAACTGGCACCAGGGGGCTGCACACCCCAATTCTCTAAGGCAGCCTTGCCTTCTGCTCAGGCTCACTCTAGCAACCTGACTCGTGGCGCTGGCCTCGGCTTCCTACCCTTCCCACATCAGCAGGGCCGTGTCTGCAGAAATACTAGAGATGGATCAGCTGCCTGCTTTATTGGTACTAGAAGCAAGCGCTGGCAACCCTTCTCATCATTAAACTTCTCCCCCTCTTCCAAATTCTCCCTTCATTTGGGGTTCCAATCTGCTCTGAGCCAGCAGAACCTTGAGGCCAGCCCCTCTTAGGAGCTGATGCTCTAGACTGTTTTTCCTGATCAATATATTTTCCTGTCCAGAGGAGGAAGTGGCTGAGTTTAGCTTGGACACCCTGGTTCTAGCTGACCCAGTGGGCAATTTGCTCTTCCCCAGCCTTCCGAGCAGTAGAAGTAATCCTGCCATACAGAGTCCATCAGCCTGGGAGCTAAGAGTCATTGGCTTAGGTCTAAGTCCCTCCTGCTGTGACTTTAGCACAGGCCAACCTGTCAACGGGTGGAAGCTTCATTCAGAATCACCTGCGGGAGGTTTCACAGGCAAGTGTTTCAGGCCCACCTCTTGTGCTTATTTTGGGATGTGGGGTGTAGCCTGGACATTAAGAGCTCAGCAGAGGGTATGCTATACAGGCAAGGTGATTCTCTGGGGCCTTGTGGCACCCCCTAATGCCTTTAGAAGGACCTTTGAGAGAAATGCTTGAATTCTAAGACTGAAGAAGCAGGCCCACCCTGGATTAAGGGATAGGAGGCTTAGGGTTAGGGTACTGGGACAGTGGTTTCTAACAAGCTCCCACCCCTGGATTTGGTGATATACCTGGCCAATAGGTCTATCAGAGAAGTCCAGGAGCCTGTGCCTCAAGGAGTTTGTATATTGAGATAGGAGAGAGACAAGAAGAGAACCTCCCCCCCAGCCCCTGACCCTGCTCCAACAGGGACCCAAACACTCCATGGAAATTAGAACAAGTGACTATAAGTTCAGCAGAGGTCTAGACCGGAGGGCTGAGCACCTCCATTTGCGTAGGCCCACTTCCTCTCCTAGCTGTGCTGCCACTGGCTCTGCGTTGCCCACCCACTCCATTACCACAAAAACCACATGCATTACAGAGACCTGGACTTACAGAGACCCCGTGATCCTCAGTTGGCCCATGCGACACTGACATGGACACAGTCTTTGCCTTTTTCACTTGAGGTGAGATATGCCACTGATAGGATATGTGTACACTTTTTCTTTTCAAGACGGGGTTTCTCTGCGTAGCCTTGGCTGTCCTAGACTCCCTTTGCAGACCAGGCTGGGCTCAAACTCACAGAGATCTGTCTGCCTCTGCCTCCCAGAGTGCTGGGATTACAGGTGTGTGCTGCTGCTCCCAGTTTGTGCACACTCTTAAAAACCCTGCTTTCTGATTTCTGCGCTTGGCCTTGGGGCCCTGGGCCAAGGTTAACTTGGTAGCATGGAACTTTATTTCCAAGTTATGGCTGCCTGCTTTGGGAATGACATTTGGGCAGACCCCTCCACAGGAAGAAAGGTAGACAGGGAAGCCATTTTGGGGCTTAATTCTCAAAGTGAGAAGCAGAGAAGGTCAAAGACCTTGAAGGCCCACAGCATTGACAGGATTATCCCTGACCTTCATCAGAGTTCTGATGGACGCCCTATGCTACGAATGTTACTGCTTTCTTGATATTTCCGAAAGCATTTATCAAAGTTGACCCCAAAACTGTTCATCGTTTCCAGCTAGACTGCTCTTCCTGCAGCCTTAGCAAGTCCAGCAGAGGGCAGCAAGCGGTGTGTCCCTCAGAACCTGGTCCTGAGTGTGATCGTGTAGACTGCAATCCCTGAAGACAGGGATCCTCCCAAAGTGAAAGTGTGTGCCTGAGGTGGTCAGTAAACAGGAGAGTGAGTGTGGTGGGGAGGGAGACAGGGCACCTGCCACAAGACCACAGCCTCAGTGTGAATCATGGCACCCTCCTTGATGGGGTCTTAGGAATAAAAGTGTACAGCAAGACCTTTGCTACCTTTTGATTTTGTTTTTCAAAGCATGCTTAGGATGTAGCTCATGGTAGAGCTTCCGCTTAGCCTATGCAAGACCCTGGTTTAATTTCTACAACAAGCCCCCCCCCCAAGGCACTAATTTAGTTTATTTAAAAAGAACAAGCCACATTGTTTTGCCTTTGTTTTTTTTCTGTTTGGTTGGTTGGTTGCTTCCCCCGACCCCTGCCCTTAGAAA